GGTTTGGATTTTTAAACCTGTGGTCAGTTTTGCATGAGGGCAAAATATTTCCTCAAGTTTTAGTTTGGGTTCAAGTTTGTCTTGCAAATTCACATCATGCCAACAGAAAACTGTTTGGTTTGAAAGGGATTTCTATGTGAGAGTTAAACGGATAGTTCAACTAAAAATGAAAATTCTGTCATTAATTACTCACCCTCATGTCGTTCCAAACCTGTAAGACCTTCGTTCATCTTCGGAACACAAATTAAGATATTTTTGATTAAATCTGAGAGCTTTCTGATCCTGCTGTATAGACAACAATGGAACCGACAAGTTCAAGGCCCAGAAAGTTAAGGACATCTCGTTAAAATAGTCCATGTGACATCAGTGGTTCAACCGTAACATTTTGCAAAACAAAACAAAAATAACGACGCATGCGTTGTGGTACTCTCGTGAACGTGCGGCGAAGACTGACACAGAAGTTAAGAAATTGTTAATTAAGGTCATTATTTTTGTTTTCTTTGCTCACAAGAAGTATTCCCGTAGCTTCATAAAATTAGGGTTGAACCACTAAGGTCATTATTTTTGTTTTCTTTGCTCACAAGAAGTATTCCCGTATAGCTTTCAAATTATGGTTGAACCACTGATGTCACATGGACTATTTTAACAATGTCCTTACTACCTTTCTGGGCCTGGAACGTGTCAGTTGCGTTGCTGTCTATGCAGGGTTAGAATGCTCTCGGATTTTATTTTTGCTTGCAAAATTTCTCTAAAATTTAACTAATGGGGGTGGACATTTTAGGCAATTGTTCATTGTGTTTTGCCATCGCTATGCACTGTAGTTCAGCTAAATGTATAGCTATCTAATGACCACATGGCATCAAAATGAGAGTTCTGTTTGCTTTTGTTATCTTAAAAAGGCATTTCAGAGTCAACACAAATGTATTATGGGTTTTTAGAATGGCAGATTTGGAACTTTGTCTTAAATAGTTTCTTCCATTCATGTTGCACAATACATTAAAAGGTCCTACCAAACGATGGATCCATCAGGTAATACTCCATTACAGTTGACGCCACTACAAATCCCATCAGCGCCGACTACGAAGTAGCGATCATTGGGGTACTGATTACAGGGGAAGTCTGACAGAAGTCCAACTCTGGTCAGAAAGAAGTTGTTTGATGATGGGTTGAATGCTGTTGGGTAGGGTGACAAGCTGAGGATGTTGGTAGTTGAGCTGTGTACTAGAGCATCAAAGGTGCCGTTTGCTAAAAGTGAAAGAGGATTGATAATGCAAACAGATGGGAGAGTTTGCATTAGATCTTTTCTTTAGCCTCTTATGCTCAATATGGCTGCATTTATTTGATCAAATGCATAAAACAGCAATATTGTAAAGTATTATTACAATTTCTAAAGACGTTTTACCTGAGCACAGGCCAGCCACCAGCCATATCTCACAGCCAGAGCACGGCTGATTAAATACACAATACGGCTGCTTCAGTATCACTGTATTACTGGTGACCTTGGCTAGGAAAGCATTAGATGCAAGCTCAGGCTGGAATATCTGACCTGTAGACAGAGAAAAATACTTTGAAGAGCCATTTTTAAAGTGACCTCATTGTTCCAACTTGATCCCCATTTAAGTCTGTCACAGAATAATAGCAGGTTCAGTCTGATTCACATGCACCTGTCCTAGGGCAAAAAGGATCGTGCAACACCTACCAACCCTAAATGCTGTAACTGCAGTGCTACAGGTGTATTGATGGAAAACTGGCCACGAAACAGTACATACAGGCTGAGTCTTGCCTACTAGTGTGTGTTTCCCTCGAGTCTCAATATAGATTCTGTTTTTACAACTAGTATGAACATGACATACGAAAGGCATCATTGTATCTGTATTCTGTATCTTGGTAGTAGGTCATTTAAAAAAATGTGTGATGAGTGTGGCATCCTATGACATACTAATTAATGACTCGGTGAGCTATTTCACCTATTTATAACAAATATAGTGCACAAGACGAAATAATAGCTTAAAAAGTGACCCCATTCAAAAGTTGAAATATGCTTGATTCTTAATGAGGTGTCATTATACCTGGAAGATTTTTATGATCCCTCTTACTTTGTATAAATTATGAACAGATTCTGCATATATATGTATGTATATGTGACCCTGGACCACAAATTAGATATGAGATTTAAAAAAAAAAGATATATATAGGAATATTAGCCAATTTATATGGCCCCATGTATCATCACAGCATTGTATATTTATTATTTGATACCAATATTTTATATGTTTTCTTTCAAGTTTAGCAGTGACCTTTACTATATATACTGAAGCTAATGTATAGCATGTCCATTCATTATGTACATTTTCAATATATATATATATATTGAAAATTTACATAATGAATGGACATGCTAGACATTAGCATCAGTGGGCCATTAGTACAATCCTTCAATAAGATGTCATGAATTATCTTACTCATTTGTTCATAATAGTCGCCAGGGTATTTTTGCTGAACGGAAGGAAGATTTTTAGTTTGTTAATCTGAAATCATCTTTGTCCGACATCCAACATCTAATCCAACATGATGAAAATTGAATGAGACATTTGTGTACACTTTACTCTGTCTTTAATGAACTATTGCCTGAGAAAGCCTCACTCCATTTAAACTGAAGGATAAGGCAATGTAATTAAAATATAACTAAGTGCATTTGTGATGTAACGCAGAAACCAGGTCTGTATAGTAATCCCCATCTAAAAAGAACAAACAAACATTGATAATTAAGGCTAAAATGCACTTGCCTTCTCCGGTCCACATCCAGATAGACATCAATGACATCAAACGGATCATTGTGTTTGTCTTCATCTTGTAACAAGGATGCAGATAGATTCTGGAGTAGAAGTCAACCTGGCTGGTCTCTATGCTCAGTAATATGCCTGGCAGATACTAATCAACTCCTATAAAAAGAAGCTGAAGGGAGGGGAGAGAGTTTTTCATGAGGGTGTGTGAATCCCAGGTAGAAACTGGGAGGTGCTTTGAAATTCCAAAGACTGACTGTTGCTACTTTGTAAGCTGTGAAAAACGCTTGAATCATGTGAAAACACTTTCTGCTTTAATCCTATAGCACAGAACACGTTTTCATTGCCCATGCCACAAGTACAATGTCAAGGTGGCCAAAGTCGCAACATGTGATCAAACTATCTGACACTTAAAATGGAAAATAAAGCAAACGTCTGTTTGAATGACTAATGTTAAAGTCAACAAACCCTCCACATACATACTGGTGACTTAATTCCCACCAAACAGGCACATGACTTTAGTTGACATGACGTCAAAAACAGAGGTGTGGAGTTTATTCATACAATATATCAATAATATTTGATTCCTAGTTTCTTGAGGGAAGTGTTACATAGTAATTAATAATGTAATATGCATCAAAATTGACCCCATTATATTGGTTTTCTAGGACAAACTAGGCTGTATGTTTTGCAGCTCCGGCAAATGCCTGAAGTGTTTGTGATCAAATAATCAAAATTGTGTTTGTTGGTAAAACCAGCTTAACCAGACCTGCGTAGACATGAAGCAAATGAACCGCTGTTTATAGGTACAAGTTACTGACATTTTCTCTGTACTCTCTGTGAACATGTAAAATTCAGAATTCATATTATTTGCAAAGACTGGACGGGTGAGTTGAAATAATGACGTAGTAGTAAAACAGCAATATCCAGAATCCCATTGTGGTGAATCAGACTATGAACTAGAGCTATTAACCGTATTTGCCAAGTGGTAATACAGGGTGGAGAGAATTATGCTGTTTTTTTTTTTTCACATGTGCTTCAAAGGAATGTGGTACTCATGACAACAGGGTCCATTATTGACTAACGAACAATTACACCACTCTCAGTAATACCATTTTTTTTAAATGCAGAGATTATTTTGCATTTAGGTGATTTTTGCTAATTAGAGATAATGTCAAAATTCTCAAATGAACCGGTGTATTTTTTTATTATTATTTTTGCCATTTTAAAAGGTCCTGTGTGTACAAATGATTTTTTTTTCTCAAAAGCTATATCTATTATGTGTTTCCATTAATATGAGGCCAGAAAAATGGTGCATGATTAATGATTAAAAAGAGCAACATTTTAGTTTCAGGCTTAAAGAAAATGACATGTTCTCAGACATTTAGAAGCAAAACGTGAAACTGACCAAAATGAACCTTATGATTAAAACAATAACAAATATCTGCCATTGGCGGATTTTTGTTCTTGTTAAGCATAAACTCACTTTAATTGTTAAATTTACATTACACAGACTTCATATTATATTTGTATTTCGAGTAAAGTATCCTGATTTTAGGTTGTTTAAGATATTTGTACTGAAAGACAAAACTACAATATAGAGTTTTTTTTTTCTTCAATGCGTGTAACATTTAATGTCATTACTTTAAGAATTTAAAATACTTTGTGCTCTCATTTAAGACCTTTTTTAGGCCTTAAATTGTGAAAGGGTGAATTAAGACTTTTAAGACTTGCAGAAACCCTGTGAAGTGATATAATACATACTCAGCCTTGGGGGAAAAAAGGCTGCATTAAAAATACAGTAAAAACAATACAATACTGATTATTGTAATATAGAAAATATGACCATTTTAAACTACGTTTCAATTTTAACTTTTTAAATATAATTTATTCATATAATGGAAAAGCAGAAGCAGTTAAAGGACAGTGAGAACAATGTTCCATGAAACACTGAAATGCCACAATTATTCCCTTTGTTGTTTATTAAAACAAAATACATATTTACAACAGAATAAAAGTCTATCCTGGTCACATTATTTTATCATCAGCACTCCAATGAAAGAAAAACATTCAGCTTTTCCAATGTCCACCTCAAATGTTGAACAGCTGACTCCAGCACAAAGGATGAATGCACTTCTGAAACACTGATTCCAGACTGGTTTTGAGTATTTTTACGCACAGATCACTAAATGTTCCCTGCTGGAGGTGTTTCTGGTATTGTACGGGGGAGTATATGCTGGATACTTCCATCCTTTCATTCGGTCACCTCTTCCCCATGATGAAGCTGGGCACTTCTGCATCATCTTCTTGCTCTTCTTCTTCAGAAGCAGAGGATGATGACTTCTCCTCTGAGGCTGCTGACACAACAAACATTATTACTCACTGCTTAGATGAATGCTGAAATTCAAGAACTGCAGTTACTATAATGATGATTATGATGACCTGTGCTGCCATCCATAAACAGCACTTTTAAATATAGCGCTCATAATAAACATTCACCCTCACCGATGTTTTTATGTTTTATTTTACAACATTGAATCACTGAGGATTTATTTAGCTTTTTTGACACAACAGAGAAAATGTATAAAAATCAGTCAGCTCGATTAACTACAATTAAATAATAATTTTAGTATGATAAAATATTGGTTTACTTAAGTGTTCAGACACTCATGTTTAGTAGATGTCTTCCAGTTGGCGTTCAAGGAAGAATGGGGTGGATTTCGAAGATAATTTCATTATCTCGTACCTCCTTCTTTCTGGCTCTCCATCTTGGCTTTCTTAGCCATCAGCTTCTTTTGTTTCAACTTTTCCCTAAATGACGCAAAAGAACAGAGATTCCGAAACAAACAAAATAAACTTCTAAATTAGTTCTCTAATGATTCTAATGTATCTAAAACAGACAAGACAGTATTTTGCAAACCTCTTCTTTCTGCGTTTGGCGGTTCTTTCTTCAGCAGCCTTTTGGTTTTCTTTCACCTTCTCAATATATTCTTCATCCAGCTTTTGCTGCAAGAGTAAAAGAAACTATTTGTGAACCAATACCAACTGTACTACATTTTGATTTTTTTAGGCGAGGGACCACCATCAACCCAGGCTATGTTGAAGACCCGGAACATACGCTATGCAAATAGTGTTGGCAAAAGTTATTTTTAATCAATTTATACTGAAACAAGTTTATTTCAAGTTTTAAATTATTCAGCCAGAATGCATTGCATTTATCAAGTGACAGAAAAGACATTTATAATGTTACAAAAGATATCTATTTCAAATAAATGCTGCTCTTTTAAACTTTCCATTCATCTAAGAATCTAGCAAAAATGCATCACCGTTTCCACAAAAAATATTAAGCAGCAAAAACGTCTCAGCATTAATAATAATAATAATAATAACAATAATAAATGTTTCCTGAGCACCAAATCAGTCAAAGAAACAGAATGATTTCTAAAAGATCATGAGACACTGAAGATTATAGTAATGGTTTTACAAAATTTGAAAAATTAAAATAGAAAATAGTCGTTTATATTGCAGTAATTTTTCACAATATTACTGTATTGATCAAATAAATGCAGCCTTGCTGAGCGTAAGAAGCTTCTTTTAAAATTGAACAAAAACCAAACTTTTGAACGGTAGTGTAAATCAAAATTTCAATCAAATTTCACTTGAATGAATCTGACTTTCCAACAGCACGTGTAAAAAAGAGGAACTTGGTGTGACGAGTTGATTTTTGATGTAAGTGTATTTCCAAAAGAAACGCAATAGTGGGGAACAACGCATAACCCACCGGAATATTACATTGACAAATTCAATTAAATTTTGCTTGATTTACAGGATTGTCACAGCAACAGTAAAACGTCTGTCTTGTGCACCTGTGAGCTGAGCAGATCCACCGCTGCTCACACCCAAATTCTGTTATTTAAGCCGCTACAAATAACAGGTGGATCCGCATTCCACTGAAGCACCTGGATTTATTTCTGTTCAGTGGAAGTAATTTAAAGTTTAAAAAAAGTCTCAGGGAGGACTGGGAAAGAAAAAACACTCTGCTGCAAATCACCAAAAAAGCATTACAAAGGCTTTACCCATCATTCATATATATACTGTTTTGCAACAATGCTGAGGACATTATATTTTCACCTTTTCTTAGTGTAAATTGAACTAGTAACATCCATAAATGGTAAAGCAGCTCCTATTTGATTATCATATATGCTATAGGGAAAAAAATAAACCCACCTTGTCAGAAATTCGTTCCAGGAAGTCTTGTCTCTGATACTCCCGACGGCGCAGATGTCTATACACATGGAATTCACCGCTGCCTGCTCCAGCACTGGAACCTGCGCAAATTCAACAAAGAAATAGAACACAAATGAATCCTGGCAGATTATTTGCGAGGGCAAAAATCCTGAAAATGTTAGAAACCAATTTGAATGAATTCCTGCAATCTGCTGAAAGTGAATGATGTTACCACTCATCTCACTACTTGACATTTTATTTAAAGGGGTCCTATTATGCTTTTTCACTTTTTTAACCTTTATCAAAGCCGGAACTAATCGAGCCGTTTGTGCCAGCCTGGGGAGAAAGGTATTTTAATAATGTAAATTATGTGAAAAATAATGTGTTTTTCGAACCACCAACCATGAGAGCATGTTCTAGTACACCCCCAAAACAAAATCAAGACTTTGTAAAAGAGCATAATAGGACCCCTTTAATATACATTTTTTACCAACCACTGGAAACACACTTGTTTAATACAATGCGTGTTGTTCATGCATTTCTTATGTGTTATGGGTGTATTTGAAAAACATAAAACAGCAAAGAATACATTTTAAATTTAAAGGCATTCTTATGTTCTTAGGGATTTTTTTTGTTTTGTTTTTACTTTGCAGATTTTAAATAAACAAAGGTTGTTTGAAAATAAGAAAAAAATGGTTTTCAGTTACTCCATTTAGTCTGATATATATATATATTATATATATTTTTTTTTTTTTCCTAAGAGCAAAAAAAAAACCGACAATATAAATGTCCTTTTTAAAGTCATATTGAAAGAAGTAAAACTGATGACATATTTAGATCTAGGTAGCAATTCATATTACCTTCATCCTTAAATCTAAAACCGTAAACAAACACAAACCCATCACATCCCGCACAAACTCTGGTGGAGCGCGAGGATTCCACTCTTTTGGTTTCTCTGGAATGGACGCAGGTTTATCCTTTAAAATGAAAATATAAAACTCAATACTATGTTCAGTGCTCCTGCAATAGTTCAGTAGCATCATTAGCATGAGTTACTACTCCAAATAAAACCGCTAACTTGCGGTAAAGGGTAAACTCACGGGGTTTCGCATCAATCTCTCCAACTTTAAACGCTGCTCCTCTGCTGGAGTTTTGGCGATAATTAAAGGCTGGGACTCTTTTTTAGGAGCTTTTCCTGATCGCGCATCTTTCCTATCCACCGCCATGATTCGTCCAGAGTCTTCTTCGAGCCAGGTTTTGTGTTCTTCTTCTATTCATCAATGGCAGTGCGCATACTGTCACCTACTGGACCGATGTGGATCTACATCATCTTTCGGGTATAAATCGGTATAATAAACATGTACCATGTGACGTTGCATAATGATGTCCAATGTTCTCTCAGTTGCACTTAAATTTCAGAATAGATCCCACAACACTGCAAAATACCAATAATTTTGTATTGGTCCCAAATCTTGTCCCTTTAAAAGCACTGTATTTTTTCTGTATTTTCTGAAATCCTGCAAATCTCACAATTCACGGGATGCACTGAGAATAAAATATTGAAACTTTGTTTTCTCTAGTCTTAATCTGGGTAATATGATTTCTTCATATCATATCATATCATATCATATCATATCATATCATATCATATCATATCATATCACACTAGCCCAAAAATGCTATTACTGACACTTTTTTGTTATAGAGTGACCAGACGTCAAAGTACATAAGAAAATGTAAAGGTACACAAAAGATTAAAGTATTGTATAAAGTACTGTAAAGTGCAGGTACTGTGTACCGGTGCGTACTGCCCCACCCCGAGCACTGTCTATTGTCATGTGATCTTACCATTTTCACCAGTGACAGCTCAAACCATAGCATGTAGCTGGTAAGAGTCAGTCAAAGAAACAGAAGAACATGTTCAGAAATACAGTGAATCTGCACTTTAAAACAAGTTAATTCAGACTGGGCTTACTTTATATTGCTGTCAGATTTACTTTACCACGTCCAGAGATGGGCACAAATACATCAAAATGTAATAAAAATAAAAATACAAAATACTGTGTGGAAAAATGTATTTAAATATAACTACAAAATACTGTAAATGTATTTAAATACAAATACTGTACAAAAGACCCAGATATTCTTGAATGTCCCGGATAATCCCAACCAATCAGAGTGCTCAATGCTACCACATCATCCCGTGCTTATGAAGAAGAAGAGAAAAGAAGCTGCGTCACTCGTGCATGAGTGGAAAGTCCGCCAGCTTCGGTCTAATACTTATCCATCCACGCTGGATTGCCATTAAGTCCTAGTTTATATAGAGTTACTGTTACTCGAGGCTGAACCCAAAGAGAACTCTTGCCTTGTGAGTACCACAAAGGATATCTTCTATGTGGACCGTTCTGTCAGCAGCCGCAGAGTACTCCTGAAAGTAAGGTAATCATAACAAATGGGGATGCATCAATGGAGACATATGCAGTGCTGGATGACGGGTCTGAAAGGACTATTCTCCTCCATGCCGCAGCTCAGCAGCTGAACCTCAAAGGACAGCCAGAAGACCTGATCCTGCGAACAGTGAAGCAAGATCAGCAGGTACTTCATGGGGCGGCTGTTTCTTTCACAGTGTCTCCCGTGTCCAGACTGCTCCCTGATGACATTCCCTTACTTTGATTCCTTTGGAGGGATTTGAAGCCAGTGCAACTTCTAGACGTGTATCAATAGCAGGTGCTTCCCTTCGGCACGGCATGCAGCCCCTGTTGTGCCACCTACGCCCTGCAGAGGCACATCGTGGATCACAGCCTGCCTGGAGACAAAGTCCGAGAAGTCATTGAAAGGTCGTTTTTGTTGACAATTGTCTGCATAGTATTACCTCCGAAAGACTTGGTTGATCAGCTCTGTTCACTTTTAGCTTCTGGTGGCTTTGAACTGTGGCAGTGGGCCAGCAATCGCCCATCCGCAATTAATCACCTCCCCCCTGAATCTAGGTCAGATGCCTGTGATCTCTGGCTCCTTCAAGGTCAGCAAGATGTCTGTGAGTTTACACTTGGACTCCATTGGCACTGCCAGTCTGACACTCCCCGCTACAAACATAGAGGTAAACGCTGCTCCACCGTGACAATGCGCAACATCTACTGTGTACTGGCAAGCCAATATGACCCTCTCGGTTATATCATCGCTTATACTACCAGGGCCAAGATATTGATGCAGCGTCTATGGGACAAGAGACGTGACTGGGATGACCCACAGTTACCTGAGGACCTCCTTACCTTGTGGTGTGAATGGGAGAAAGAGTTGAGTAGACTAGATGAGATCTCTCTGCCCAGATGTTATTTCAGCTCGAAGATGGATCACCCGTCCTGTGGACATGAGATTCACGTCTTCTGTGACGCATCAGAACAGGCATACGGCTCAGTGGCTTACCTGCAGACAGAGAGTAAAGAGGGACAAGTTGAAGTTGCCTTTATGGCTGCCAGGTCTAGAGTTGCCCCCCGCAAGCAGCAGTCCATACCACGTCTGGAGCTATGTGTAGCTCTCAGTGGTTCTCAACTTTCCAAACTCCTAGTTACAGAACTTACAATCCCCATACACTCTGTTGCACTCTGGTCAGACTCCACCGCAGTGCTTACATGGTTGAAATCCAGCTCATGCCGCTACAAAGTGTTTGTAGGGACACGTGTAGCAGAGATTCAAGAGCTGACAGCATCTGCTTCCTGGCACTATGTCAAATCTGGAGACAACCCAGCGGACGATATAACTCGAGGCAAGTTTCTCCAAGACCTCTCGAGAGGGAGTCGGTGGAGTCAGGGTCCACCATTCCTCAAGCTGCCACCAGATAGCTGGCCTGAACAACCTCCCTTATCTCTTGAAGAGCAAAGCCGTGAGTTAAGACGGTCTGCGTTCTGTGGGTCAGTGACTGTTACCACACCCTTGCCAAAGCCAGAGCAATATGACACTCTGTCAGCCTACTTAGATGCCTGTGGTCAGGAGCTTCATGAGGCGGCCTACACATCATGCGCTGACACCCAGAGAGAAGTTCAATGTAAGATCCTCTGTCAAGCCCAAGCTGAGTCCTTACCTGCTGAGTTGAGTCTCCTAGGTCAGGAAAACCAGTGTTAGGCAGAAGCAGATTGGCTTCACTCTCCCCCGAACTTGACTCTGCTATGGGACTGATTAGAGTAGGAGGTTGTTTGCATCACTGTGAGGTGCTGGAAGCTGATGCTTTACATCCAATTGTCCTTGACCCTCAGCATCCGGTAACCAGGCTAATCATCAGGGATTATGATGAGAGACTGCACCACCCTGGCTCGGAACGTTTGTTTGCCGAAATAAGAAGGACATACTGGATATTAAGAGGCCGTGAAGCCATCCACCGATACCAGCGGCAGTGTGTGGAGTGCAGAAAATGGAGAGTTCATCCAGAAGTTCCCCTCATGGCCGACCTGTCTCTCACCAGACAGAGGTACTTCAAACCAGCCTTCTATTCAACAGGCATGGACTGTTTTGGACCCTTTGTTATCAAGATTGGCCGCCGCAACGAGAAAAGATGGGGTGTAGTGTTCAAGTGCATGACCATCAGGGCAGTCCATCTTGACATTCTTCATAATATTGACTTGGACTCATTCTTAATGTCCCTGAGACGATTCATCGCACTCCGAGGAAAACCATACAAGTTGCTCTGTGACCAGGGCACTAACTTTAAAGGGGGAGAACGTGAACTGAGTGTGTCCTTTGCTGCCATGCAGAATGAACTACAAAGTCACCTCGCCGGCCAGCAAATCAAATTTGTCTACAACCCACCAGGTGCACCTCACTTCGGCGGTTGCTGAGAGAGGGAAATCTGCTCGATCAAAGCAGCCCTCAAAGTGACCATCGGGGCCCAGACAGTCACCGAGGAAGTACTGAGAACAGTCTTGGTTGAAGTTGAAGGGTTCTCAACTCGAAGCCACTTGGGTATACTTCCTTGGATGTAGCCGACCTCGACCCAATCACCCCGTTCTGCTTCCTGATTGGACGTCGAGATGCATCCTTATCTCAGGTAGTCTACCAAGATTCCGAGATCCTGAGTCGCAGACGCTGGCGCCACAGTCAACTGCTTGCAGATCATTTCTGGAGGCACTTCCTAAAGTATTACCTACCCAGCCTCCAAGCCCGCCAGAAATGGAAAACCGACAAGAGGACACTAGAGATTGGTGATGTGGTCATAATCGTCGATCCCCAACTTCCCCATGCCCTCTGGCCAGTGGGGAAGATCTCCCAGGTTTTCTCAGGTGCAGATGGAAGAGTACGGGCAGCCAACGTCGAGGTTAAAGGTAGGACTTACACACGACTTGTGGCTCGACTCATTCTGCTCCCAGCCCTACCTGAGGATGATTTATGTTAGGATGCCGACCTTTTGCTAGATAAGCAAATTCAGTTCCTGAATTCGGGGGCGACTGTACAAAAGACCCGGATATTCTTGAATGTCCCGGATAATCCCAACCAATCAGAGTGCTCGATGCTACCACATCATCCCGTGCTTATGAAGAAGTCAAAAGAAGCTGCGTCACTCATGCGAGAGTGGAAAGTCCGGTCTAATACTTATCCATCCACGCTGGATTGCCATTAAGTCCTAGTTTATATCGAGTTACTGTGTGCGTGCATGTGAAAGAAAACCACACATGTATACTCCAAGTTCTTCAGTAAGCTAAAAGGAACCTATACATTGCTTGGTGCCTCTTCAATTAAGAGTCGTCTCATTCAGTCTTAACCGACTGCCTGCTGCGTTTCATACCCATCCAAATAGTGCATCTTCCGAACCCCCTACATTTCAAATACAGTATTTTGTATTTTGAAAATACACAAAATACATGTGAAATTGGCCATCCAGTGAAGTAACACAATAAGGCCTGTTTACACCAAGAACGATAATCATAAAGATAACTATATTAGTGTATTCTAAGTATACAATGCAGTATTGTATGCTTAGTATAAAGCTGCAAATTCCACCATTAACCTCAGCTGCCTCTGTAATAATCCTCTGATATCTGTCTGTTAGCAAAAGGACAATCGTACTTGGGCTTTAGTACAAGGCAACTGTGCCTAGTGTGAGTATGCCCTTATGCCATTATTGTTATCTTTGTCTTGGGGTGCACACACACAGAAAGCTGCTTATTACTCATTTATCCATGTTTCTTTATCGCTCTGATGTGTCAATAGCTCCTGCCCACTAAAAGCTCCACGGATATATTTGCATACCACGATGAAATATAAATGATATAGAAAAAGTTCAATCAATTTACACGTT